CATATTTTACATTGATATTCCCGCAGCTAATAATTGCTTCTTTCTTATTTGCCCTCCTGATTTTCATGAATGGCTTCCAAAGTGCTCCACCTGAAGTTAAAATGCCACTGAATACTGTTGTCTCATGGTGGAGCACTTCAGGGGATGAAGGGTTCCACTGCTGTTTTTCTCTTACAGTGTCTTCCGTCCTCTGTCCTTGACCAGTCTAGAAGTATGCTCTTCCATTGATGTCCTACAGCTCCATTTATTCTGGATCATCCTAGGTCTCACATCTTCCTCTTTTTTGGCTTTGCTTTCCTATTTTGGTGGAGTATATATCCTCTATTACACAGCCACAAAGTAGGTTCTCAGCCGACATCATTCACAACAAGATTTGACCAGAAATTACCAGAAGAATGGAAGAGGTTTTATAATAATTTGATGCTGCCCCTCCAGCCACACATTTGATCCAGGTGTTGACTATTTCAGGTGTCATTTAACTAGCATGGGATGGAACGTATCAGACAGGTGCAGAAGGACCCTGTCACACTGGGTGATATTTTAAAGTTAGTCAGTAATCCAAAGTGTATAAAAATCTTTTATAAATATGAAGTCTGTCATTCAATTAAAGGTGGCATAATTTGTATTATTTTTTGCCAATTCTATTATTTTTTGGTAAAATAAGTTTCATTGCACCTCTTGTGGAGAAGAGTCACTGCTTTGCTGAACATGGCAGTGATCATCATCCAAATGATGAGAGAAAAAGGAGGCCAATGAAATAAAGACCCAAATTTTCTAGCTAGTTACTTGCAAGTATGTTTTGAGTGTTTCCTTTTAAAGGAACTGATGGTGATGTGCAAAACTACAGTTATTTACACAGATGTGTTGATTAATAAAGTCATAAAGGTCTTAGCACCATTAACATGCAAAAGTATGAAAAAATATGTTTAAAACTAAATATCGAGGGAAGAAAGGCAGGAGAGAGCAATTTGTAATTACCCCACAGCTCAACATATTTCCAACTGGCACATACACAGCATAAGAAGCCAACTTGAAATAAAATTTGCAATAGTTTTATTGCAAGCTGACAAATGTTCTTATATTATTAAGATGGTTATTCTTTTAGAATATGTGAATACTGTGATGGCTTCTCATTGCAAAATAATGCAAATAGATATGAACTCCAGAATATAAACTATAAAATACTGTATCACCTATTAGTGTATTAGTGGTTACATGGCATTCTTTATGAAGAAATTTTTACTGTCAAAAAATCAGACTCTATAATATGAATTATGTGAAGACTAATGTTTTAATGTTTGCTTATTTTTTAAAGATTCATTTATTTATGCATACAAGAACTGGGGTACAGGCTAGAAGTGTAGGGGGTAAAAGGATTCGCCAGAGAGAGTGGGGAGCAGAACAGGGGGATGTACTGAAATACACTACTAAGGGGAGCAGTGGGTAGATAGGAGAGGCCTGTTGCACCATGGGGGTTGGCTCCCTGGCTTGGGATCGAATTGTGCTGCAGACAGCTTCAAAGTGCTGTGCTTAACCCCTTGCACCACCAGGAGGCCCTAAATTTGTGCTTATTGTACAGTCATGGGCTAATACGGAAACTGATTACAAACTCTTGGTTACATGGGGAGGTACAGTGGTTTTCAAGAGGAAGAGCTCTGTCTAGATTGATTGAACTCTTGGTTTCCTTCAAAATAAGGAAACAGTTCAGGAAAAAACTCAACAAACATAAAATGAACTGTCAGCTAATGACAGATTTTTTTTATTTCTCTAATAGTATTGTTGTATTCACTTGCCTGAATACACTTGTAGAGTACTACGTGGAAAGAGAACAGCACACTTTACAATACAGATTATCAGAGAGAAATTCTGCAGTTTGTTATGACATGCTCCATAATTTAACACAATTATCAATGAAATCTTCTCAATATTGCACAGTTGGGGAAAGTTATTACTGAACACCTCACACATTTGATCAAACATTTTTATTTTACATAATAAAAAGATTCACACAATAGGGTATTCATTGTGGGATTTGGAATCTTTATCTTTCCTTGAAGATAAATTATACTCAATTAAAACTTAACAGGATAGATGCTGGAATTAGGTAATGGTCAAAAATTGAAGGTAACTACTAAAATTTCATCATTTGTTTCATTTTAATAAGATACTTCTGAATGTCCTGGGCATGGCAAAATTGCTTTGAAATAGCTTCTTCCTTTTCTGTCATGTATTTTATGAAATTAGTTTTACTTCTATACATATTACTGAAAAAAAAAGAAATATTTTAGACATACCACTACTTGTGTAGTACTGTTGTCCACCATGTAAACTAAAAATGGATAAATTAACAAACTCTAATTCGCAAATGCACATTCGGGACAATAAGAACATTAAATATTATAAAAACTTGGTTTGCTAAAATATGCATATGTGTGTCTGAAATAGGGAATCGCTATTTCACAAATAACACTTTGCTAAGTTACAATGAGAAACAGCAAAATTCTCAAATATAGTAAAGAACCGCAATGTAGTCACTGTTAACGATAAACAATTATGAATTTTGAAATTCTTTTTTCTTTAATTTAGATTTTTCAGATCATATTTGTTGAGATATAATTTAATACCTGTTGAATTTAATAATAAAAATTGGGGCTGCTTTTCATTTTTCTAGTAATTATTTTTTAATTATGTCACAAAGGCACGTTGCATGTGAAACATTGCAGTAATAATTCTGGAGGCAGGGAAGATGGTGCACAGGGCTACCCCAAGAATAAAGGAATGGCAGGGGAGGTCTCACAGGGGAGTGAGGGAATTTTTGGAGACCTTGAAAGTCAGAAAATATCTCTGTTCTACTTTCACCCCTTCTTGATAGTTTGTCTAGGTATAGAATCTGATCCAAGGAGGAAATAACTCTTCAGGATTTTGAGGTGATTGTTTTTATCTCTCCCTCCCTCCCTCCCTTCCTTCCTTCCTTGACTAGTCTTCTAATTTCCAATGCTGCTCTTAGGAAATCTAACAATAGTCATATTCTGTGTTGGCATTTATTTTATTCTTGGAAATGTTAAGAATCTTCTCTCACTGACATCTCAAAACTCACAACAATGTGCAGTGTTTCATTTTATTTCATCCACTGTGCAAATGAATCAGTGGATCTTTTCAATCTGTAAATGATGTTCTCCATTTATGGCTTTTATGTGCCTGTTTCATTCTTTTATTTTGTAAACTCTACCCTGCATGTCTGATGAATGTAAGAAAATTAGAGATTTTTAAATTCAGTCATGTAAGAAAATTAGAGATTTTTAAAAAGCTGACCGCATGGTTTAAAACAAAGTCTCAGTGAACCAGAGACACTCTATGGAGGGTGAGGGGCGGGGAAAGGAGGGCTTGGGGTCAAAATAAGGGGGTTATAATTGTATGGGGAATATAAAAATAAAATTTAAATAAAAAAATAAAAAAACCCAAAGTCTCAATATACTAGAAACATAAGGAAACTTTTAAACTCTGATTCAAAGGGACCTATACAAAAGTTAACCAAATGCCATACTCATTAAGAAAATAATTTACAGGGCCTCCCCAGTGGCGCAGCGGTTGAGCGCTGGGTTGCGAAGCTGCCCGCAGCCTCCACAGCGCTGGTTCGATCCCCGGCCGCCGGGCGAGGGTCCCACATGGCGCACAGACCTCTCCTGCAGCCTGCTGCTCCCCTCAGTGGTGTATCTCGTCGGTCTGCCTGCTCTGCTCCCCGCTCTGGCTTTGGTGAATTCTCTCACCCTCCTGTGCTTCTGACATACCCAGTGCTTGTATAAATAAATAAATAAATCTTTAAAAAAAAGAAAAAATAATTTACAAACATTCCCATTGAAACCAATACAGCCTCTGTCACTATGTCTACTCAAAACCTGCTATGGTATTATGCAGTGAAAATAACCAAGAGTTAGAAACAAAAGTCGTAAGTATTAGAAAAGAAGAATCATACATATGGTTAGTAATGTATAAGAATATGCACATTAAAAATCTGATTCTCTAGGGCCTCTGCGATGGCACAATGGGTTGAGCGCAGCACTGTGAGGCTGTCCTCAGTCTCTGCAGGGTGGGTTCGATTCCAGGTCAGCTGGGGAGATTCCCACATGGCACAGCAGACCTCTCCTGTCTCGCCCGCTGCTCCCCTCAGCAGTGTATTTCAGTAGATCCGGCTGTTCTGTTCCCCACTCTGTCTCTGGTGAATCTTCTCACCCTCCCGTGCCTCTGGCCTATACCCCAGCTATTGTACAAATAAAAAATAAATCTTAAAAAAAAATCTGATTCTCTAATCTGAGTTACTAAGAGAATTTACCAAGTTATTAGATCCAAGATCAATATTAAAAAATATCTCAATGTATCTCTATGTACCATCAGGAAAAAAATAGAAACTGAAATTTCAAATAATATCATATTTACCAAAACATTTAAAAAAATAATATATAGGAATAAATCCAAGAAACATATGTAAGACCGCCTTACTGAAAAGTTTAAAACATTATTGTGAGTAATTAAATAAGATCTATAAATGGAGTGAAATCCCAAGTTCTTGGATAGTGAAGTGAATGTCATGAATGGTAAAGATAGCTCAGTCAGTCTGAAAAAGAGCAAATCTAGTGGACTAACACTTGGGGTCAAGGGCTATTTTAAAGCTCCAGTAATTAAGACAATTCAACATTGATAAAGCATAGACAGGCTAGTGGGACAGAACAGAGTCCCGAGATAGAATTGGTGCATATGTCACATGACTTAAAGGGGGCACCACAGAACAGTGGGGAGGTGATCAGGATTAATTAACAAATGGTGATGGATTAATTTCTATCTTGATTGAGAAAAATAAATAAATCTTTGCTCTATTTTAAACCATAAACAAAAATAAAGTTTTGTTCTTTTGTGAAAACAGAGTATACACTGAATGTCCTAAAATTAAGATAATGTGACATATAAATGACAGCAGCAAATGCATTTTCACATATTCTGTTTTTAGTAATTTTTTTAATCAAAACCCATGAGGTATGCATGGTAGATGGAATTATCTCCACTCTACAAATGAGGAAACCAAATTTGTACAAAGTTAAGGCATTTGCAGACAACTTCACTATCACTAAGTGAATGAAATAGGACGTCACCTGGTGCAACTCCGTTAAGATCAGAGAAGATGGAAAACGAGCAGGTTCCAGCACGTTGCCTTCATTTCTACCCGGTCTGTTCATGTCCCCTTGGCAATAGGCTAACAGAATTATTACAAGAAAAGAGAGAATCTGATGGATGTGAACAGGTCTACTGGAAAGCCTGACACTTAGTAGGTGCTCAATCAGTCCCATGCTGCCACCTTAGCCCATCCTGAAGCCGATAAGTTGCTCAGGAGAGGGAGAAACTGGACATGACTGTCTGCACTGCAGGACAATGCTCCCTGCTGCCTCAGATAAATGATACTGATAAGGCTCAAGCAACTATTTTTAGTGGAACTGCCACCTGGGCAATGTGACATTTGTCACTTATCAAAGGGCAAAACAGAAAATTGTTTGAAGGTGACAGGATATTTAATAGAACCAAATGTTCCCATTTTCGACACAGTCCACACAGAGCTTGCTGTGCGTCTCTTCATTCCCTTCTACACGAGCCTGACATTTCCCTGTGGGTTCTCTGTCAGTCTTGCTCTGGCTTGGACGGCAGAGCCTCTCAGCTTCCTCTCCTGACCTCCCGGGGACAGCGTCATCATTGTTCCTGAGACGCGTGATGGTTGCATGACAAGCCTTCCCCGGGGAGGGACGCTCACTTGTTCCAGAGCATTTGTTTCACTTCAGTGAACACTACCAGGAATGACTTCAGAGCACAGCTGAGTGTTACCTGCAAGTGCTGGGGTTTTTCTAACGAAGAAAAAAAAATAGGAAAGTTTTTTCCCTTAAGTAATCATTAAGTTAATAATTTAAACTCAACCCATGAGAAGCTTCCACATACAGGTTAGTCAAGGGCATATGATGGACATGCAGAGATCATAAGAGCATAGCATTTAAGAACTAGAAATGACTAAGACATCCCTAGCTCAAGGTTGCAAATTGAATGGGAGCCAAATAAGTGGACAGTGAAGCTGACAGAGTGACCATCATGGCCTCATGGGGCTGGCGGGGACATCTGCCTGGGATCTGCATAACCCCGAGGCTAACCTGGCTCCTTTTTATCGTGAACCCTAGTTTGTTGGTCCAGTTGAAACATCATCTCAGTAGCATCCCTTGCAGCTTGAGGTGGTCACATGTTGTGACGATGACACAGACAAAGGGCTGCTGGGTTCTGGATGTGACTTTCCATTCAGAAGGGACAGCCCCAGTAGACCCATGGTTTTCTCCATTTGCCTTTTGTTAGGTCTAGAACACTCCTGGAAATAGAACGGCCATCTTGTGGCTCTGAAAACAAGCCACACACTGAAGAAGATGGAGCACGAACAAACTGTATAAGTCCATTTTGAGTATTTGTTGTATGGCAAGTACTGAGGAGAAGCAGGATTCTGTTCTCAAACACCCTAGAATCTAAGGGGGAATGAGAAACAGACAGTAAGGATGCCATGTACTAATACATTCTAGGAAGAACCAAGGAAGAGGGTACATTGATGAGTGTTAATTAATTTAGAATGAGAGGCTGACAAAAATCTGTCTGAGAGGGTGACACTGGCAACAGAGACTCTGAAGAAACTGCTGGAGATCCACCAAACCCAACTACTGCCACCTCCGAGGATAAAGGGGTTGACAGATCACCATGGACTGACACCACAGACGTCATGGAAAATCAAGTACTGCTTGGAGTCTACCTATTAAATGCTCTTAATCATTTCTTTTTAAAAGTTACTTAAATTTTATTTTTATTTTGGAGGTTGTGGTTTTGCCCCTCCACATACACAGGTGTTGCCCTCACCCTCCACCAAACCACCCTTGCCAATACCCCACCAGCCTCACTTCTCTAGTTTTTATTTTATTTGAACAATGAAACTAGTCTCAAACTGAGCACTGGAGGGAAGAGTCTATTTTCTTAACTGTTTGAAAATAAGTCTCCACCAAGATGTGCAGTTGCCATTTGATCTTTTTTACTATAATTTCTGACAAACAAGGCCAGTCTTCTTTTTAGCTACAGCACTATCATCAAAAACTAGGAAATTAGCACAGATATGCCATTACCATCAGATTTCCATACCCCATTTGGCTTTTCCATTTCACTTAATAATGAATTTCATTGCAAATGTCCAATTTGAATCACACATTTCAATTAGCTGACATATCTCTTCAATCTTCACTATGGAAGTTTCTCAGTCTTTCTCTGACTTTCATAATCTTGACACTTTTGAAGACTTCAGACCATTTAACGTTACACACTGTTCCTCAAAATTGGGCTTTCCTGGTGTTTCTTGTGATAAGGTTCACCCTATCCCACCCTTCAGTACTATGACATCACAGATGTGACACCATGTTCTCCTCAATGCATCTATCAGTCATCTAGACCTGCCCATTACTCACAACCTCCACATGATTTTAATAAGATGGTGATTTCTAGGTCTCTCGACTGTGAAGTTGAGAGACTTGTTTTCCTTACTCTTTTTCCTTACCAGTTTCTTAAGAAAAGGTATTCAGACAAACTAACATCTTCTCAATCACTAAATTATATCCCTAAACATACTTTGGTGTGAGAACTTGTGGAAAAGACATAAAATGGTACAAAAATTAAAGAATTAAAATTTCACCAAGAAAATACGTACATGTTCACTTAAAGCACTTTAATTTTGTGTATCTTAATGAAAAATCAAATTATGTCAATGGCATTTTGCATAGTTTAAGAGACTGATGAAAAACACTATCAATTGTATTTCCATTCATCATTGCTGCCTGAGGTTTATTCAAGGTCTTACAGAGATTGCTGCCAATGGAGATGATGATAATGGAGGTAGTGTTGCTGATTGGCAGGGTTCTTGTGTTCTAGCGACTAAGGAATAATCTCTGACATAATCACCAAGAATAGCAGACTCCAGTTTACTGCAAGAAAGACCCCTGACAGCAGAAGAGAGTCCAAAGGAGGAGCCATTATTGTTGGGGGTAAGTTTCCTTTTGTAATGGCTCATGGGGACTTTCCCTGTTCTGGTACTCTTCCACTACACTACTCTGACTCATTGCCCCACTTTGCCACCCAGAGGTGTGAAACCACCACAAGCTACTATGTGCCCCTATATACCTCTTGTGGTTACCAGCCTCTGCCTGTGAGCTCTATGGCTACCAGCCATTACCTGCTAGCTTTCTGGTCCCTCAAGCACCCAGCCTCTGTCTGCTATCCTGCCACCAGCCCCTGCCAGCTTGCTGCAGCTTATGCAGGCCAACTCCCTAGCCAGCTAGCTCTCCACCCCCCCAAAAGGGTCTCCAGATATAGGACCTGGAGAACTGGGAGCTCATGTTGGAATAAAAGTCCCTGTGTCCACTCCGTCTTTCTACATCAGTTCCACAAGTTCAATTTGAAATGGTGACTTTGAAAAACATAATCTGTCAAGATTGTGCCTTAGTCATAACAGGTCTTAGATGTCTCCAACCAGGCTAGCTAAATGATTGACATCTAAGTGTTAAGGTAAATGTTCTCTGCTGAAATGTCTCTGTACACTTACCTTGAGGCTGTGATAAATAATTTAAACCTCCTATGAGAGTAAATTACTGTTTGCTTATACATTTGTCCGAAATACTATTTGTCAGTTGTATCACCTGATTTACTTTGGAGTCTTATCATGCTCTAGTAGATCCTTCAAATTTCTGCTTGCTTGCTTTTTGCAATGCAGCTGCTCAAGGTCCCCCTAAATTGACTCCTCTGGATCCTCCTGAAAACTGCTTCCTCTCACCCCACATTAGAAGTGCAATTCTTCCTTTCGTAGTAATAAGAGGGAAGAAAGAAAGGCATTGCAGCGTATAACTGTGTGTATTAATATGTGTCAAATTTTTGCTGATTAATATATCAAATTATATTGAATATATAAACACAATATATTGATTATATTATATATTAATGTGTCTAGTTATAGTGATTTATATCAAATAATGGCATATTTCATAATAGAAAGTAGAATAAATTTATATTCTCCTCTCATATTTTATACTATCATAAATCTAAATGGATGAGAGGTTTACATATGAAAATGAAACCAGCAGTTCATAAAGAGAAGTCAAATTGAATATAAGAAGGGAAGGTCCTACAGAGCATGACAGGCTCAGGGAAAGGATCACTTAATCTGACTACAGAAAAAGCAAATTTCCTTATGATGATATGCCTCATAAAAAAAGGTAAAGGACCTTAGTCAATATGTTTGGAAAATGAATGCATAATATCCTTAATTTGTAAGCATATTTTTTGCAATCCATTTGTAAATAAGGAACTCAAATTGGAAAGAAAAGTAGCTAAAAATATAAACACACAATCCACATGGGAAACACAGTAGCCCACAGTCAAAATGTCATACTCATAATTAAGTATAAAATGTAAAGAATTAAATATTAATTGAAGTCCACCAGATTGCCAATAGTGAAAATAAAATATAGTTGACATCCTGGGGGAAAAAATCTTGATATTTCAAGTATCATTTTATATGCTTTAAGAGATGGGACCCTCTACCTCCAGTATTGCAAAACAATGTTACCTTCAAAATAAATATTAAAAAATTGAATTGTTATGGTTTTATTCATGAAGTTACCACATATTTCTTGCTTTTCTTAAACATTTCCATTTCCTTTCTACAATATTTTAACTGATTATTACCAAATGCAGTAAAAAAAATTTTGTCAATTAACTGTAAAATGACTTCCTGTTGAACCCTGAGTAGTTGTAATCTCCCAATCAACAACCCAACTGGTTATCTTGAGTTCTGTAGATATACAGTCAATAAAATAAAATATTGATAATTTTTGCTTGATTTTTTTCTTATCATCATACCTATTTTTTCATTTCTAATGGATTAGTAAGCTCCTGAAGGGTAATGTTAAGTAATGACAGTGACAGTGGCATCTTTATTTTAATGATAACCCATCTAGTGTGAAGATATGATGTAAGAGGTTGGCTGGATTTGATTCTTCTCATTCTATTGAGAACATTTAGATGGCCATTTCAATAAGAGCTTTCAACAGGAATTGATTTGAAATTTTATCAAATGTTTTTAATATCTATTGAGTGAGCTTCATGTTTTTTTCTTTCTTAATCTTTTAGTAAGATGAGTTATGTAAGTAGATAAGCAGATTTCCTAATATGAAGACATTTTTGCACTCTAGAATGAAATTTACATAGTCATGTTTTGAGCTTTTTAATGTAATACTATATGATAATTGCTGTAGCTATTGATACTAGAACAGAGAGCCTTGCCTTTCTCCAGCACTGTTTAAATGCCCAGGACATTGCACAAAATTCTTAAATGATTTTTTAATGACACTGTAATGAAACTATTGAGGCATTGAAAAATTTACCCTGATAAGACCTTAAGTTGGCAGTAACATCTTGTTCTATCAGCAAATTCCTGTAAGTCTTGGTTTTTTCCCTTACTCTCTGACCATACATTTGGGATGGAGTCTCCAAGATGCAAGTTAATGATCTATGTAGGATAATGAGTGCTCTCCTGGATTAGCATGTTACTACTTAATTGATACTGATATTTTCCTTCCTAAATTATCTTGGAAACTGCCAGCAATATATTCAAAGAAGACCACATTAGTGTCAGTATTCAATAGTGGCATATAAAAGCATTTTTATAAACTACTCTGAATGACCAAGAAAAGAAAATTGGCAAACAGCCAAGGCATTGTGATCCAGAGCCAGGAATGAGATTCTGGAATTCTTCCACTGTAGTTTTCACTTCAGAGTAATCTGTATTATTTGGAAAGCAGGTCATAAAATTCTGCATGGGAATAGGTTATCCAAGGTAACACCTCTGTCAAAAGAGGAACAATATTAACAAACTTTATGTTTATAAGAGACCATGTGTCTCCAGCAATTAAAACTGATAAGGAAGACAGGAGAGTGTCTTGTACTGAAGTGTGTCTAGTACATATAGTGTGCGTATCTATGTGTGATAATATATTAGTCAGTGTATACAAAGAAACTTTATTTACTTATGCTTAAAATACTCAGCTATTAATATGCTAGTGATGTGGGGAAGGAATAAATAACAACTCAACCTCCCTTAAAAAGCTTAATGTTTTCATAAAACAGCTTTAGATTTTCATAAAGCTTTAACTGTTCATTTTTTGATACTGCTGTGGAAAGTCTTACTCTAAAAGACAGAGTGAGCAGAGCTTAATAAAGATGAAGTTTTAAATAAAGAAATTCCTAATTGTATCATTCCATGACTGGTTTTTGCCACTAAGGGTTCTTGAGACGCAACAGTTTGTTCTTGTATGTGTTCTTTTTTATATAACCATATGTCTTAGCTGCACTCTGAAGGCTGAAGGGAGGTTATAACATGGGTTGAAAACTGTAAAGAACTTAGGTGAAAATAAATGAAGCATTTTGTCAAAGCTGCTTTAAGCAAAATTATAAAACAGGGCAAGTATGTCTCTTTGATCAAGGTTTCTCTTCTTCTGAGCTTTTTTACCTCTTCAATCCATTCCCCCTCCAACCTCTCATTGCCTCATCAAAGCATTATCTCAGATTCTTCATCTGGAAAATGAAGCTATGAGTCCATCTCAGTGAGGCTACATCCTACCTGAGGAAATCTGGGCCAGGCAACACTTTCAGGTGAAAGTTGTCATGTTCATAGCCTGCAGCTATCACAGTGCTACCTCTGCTATGTACATACCTCACGTTCTTGCAAAACAACAAAGTAGATTATCTTGCATTTTAAAAGTACTTAAAATCATAAATTAGAAAGATGTAATTCAAGTGGAGAAAATAGAAAGCTCAGCTTATAAACATGGCTCTGAATAAGGAGGTGTGCAGAGAGTTTGGGGAAAGGGAGAAGAAATCAGATCCTTCTAGAATCCTTCAAAACTCATATGTCTATGACTTCCCCAAAATAATTGCTTGAGTTTGGAGCTATAGTTGTGTTTATTTTCTTTCATTTTTACAAGTGCAATAAAGATTTAACTCAAGAACAAAGTGACAACCATAAGCAAGCCATATCCACAAACTGTTAGGAACCCTGTTCATCTGTGGGTATGAGCACTGGAGGAGTGACTTGCACTTCAAAATACTGCAGAAACAAATGATCTATTTATTGGAAGGGTTAGAAGGAGGACGTTTAATACCAATTCTTTCTTTCTGTTTTCATGAAGAAACAATGACATTTTTCTACCATATTTACAATTTTACCACTTTGGGGATAATTGAAAAACATTAAAAAGTGATCTCTTGAAACTTTATAATTGCCATGTTCCGGTACATAAAGGAACAATACTTGATCTTGT